CCGGCGCTGCTGTAACCGCGTGTGCGAGCGGGCGGGAACGTCTCAGACATTCGTATCGACAAGGGAAGCGGAGCAGCAGTCCCCCAGGGCTGTTCTGCACCTGGATGTCAGTCCCTGTGAGCCGGATACATAACCACGGTCCTGCCCTGGGCTGTTTGCTGAGGCTACCTCCTCTCTCTCCGTTGCAAAAGCCGGGCCTGGTATGCAGGGCTCAGGTCTGTCTTTTTCCTGTCCGCTTCACCCGGGTGAATCATCCTGCAATAAGCAAACACACCCAGGGCGCTCTGCCTTGCCTTCCTCCCCGTGGCTGGCTGAATCCTGATCCTAAGAGCCCAGGACATCATTTTGCATCTCCCTTGTTTTTGTAGCTGTTTGGAGATGTATGTAACAAAATCTGTCTTGAGGAACTCCAGCTCCCTGCAGCCCAGCCCAGCATCCTGTCCACGGGCTGTTCCTTGTCACCCAGGTCTCACACTCCATGGCTTTGTCTCTGGCTCCAGACTCTTGCCAGAGCAAACATTTTGCTGATGCTGGGGAGAGCAGAGCTGCCTTTCTGCCTCCTCCCTCTCCCATTGTCCAGAGCAGCGTTTCCTGGCTGTGCTGCTCTCTGGGGGGGTCCAGCCTTTCCCTGCCTGTTCTCAGCAGCCTTGGGTGCCCCTGGGCACTGCCTCATGGCAGCCTGGTTTGGGGACACCAGATTTTGTCCCTGATCCAGGTGCATAGTTCTTTGGGATACTTTATCCTGGAGCCCAGTGTGCCCCGGCCTGAGGCTGCTCCTGAACATGAGAAAATAAAGTGTTTTGGGGATGCTGTGTGCATGCCTGCCCGGGGCTCGCCCTGGGAACCCTTTGCCTGTGGCACCTGGGGCTGCATGACGGCTGCTGCAGCTTTTCTGATCTCCTCTTTCCAGGCTGCGAGCTGACTGCCAGTACCAAATCCTACACATTTCAGGTGGATGAGGAAGATGACTCTGACCACATTTTGGCCCTGTCTGCGGTAAGAGAAATGAGAATTGACTGTGCTCATCCTCTCCCATGCTGGCACACAGCCTCACTTCCCTTCCCAGGCTGGCACACAGCCTCACTCCCCTTCCCAGGCTCATTCCCCCTTCCCTGTCCGGGCTGGGCTGGGGACTCCCTTGGCTGAGGTTTCAGCACTGGCTGCTCTCAGGGTGGGGCACGGGACTGTCACATCTATGGAGGTGCTTGATCAAAGCTAGCGGCATCAGCAAGCAGCTCAACAGAGAAGTACTCCAGATATGGGGTGAAGTATTTTTCCTTTTATTTGACCTTGATGGAGCCTTCTGCTAGGACGTAGTCCCCCCTCACCAGCTGGGTCTCTCCCTTGTTGCTCTCCAGGTCCAGCTAGATGCAGGGCTTAATTCCTGGCTCTTCCTGGGGGTCGCTTTCTGTCCTGGGAGCACAGGACCTGCCAGCACAGGTCAGATCAGCAGAAAAAGCAGCCCAGGTGTCATCTCTTGAGGTGGTTGCTGGAACAGCATGGGACACCTCTGGACCCAGTCGGGGGGTGATGGCTGCGGGGAGGGGGGCTCTGTATTCTCCCTGTTTTGTGGAGCAGCATTCTCACACCTTGCATGGCAGCTGGGCTGGTAGCATTGCTGTGGGTCGCTTGTCCCGTGGAGAGGCCCGTCTGTCCCTGCTGTGTCCCCTGGCAGAGCAGTAGTTCACCATCTCTGCTCCCACCCAGGTCTGCCTCACAGACGGCGCCAAGGATGAGTGCAACGTGGTGGAGGTCATCGGGCGAAACCACAAGAGCCAGGAGATTGCTGTGCCTGTGGCAAATCTGAAGTTGTCATGCCAGCCCCTGGTAAGAGCTTGTTTCAAAGACTCGGGTAGGGATGGCTGCAGGGAATTGGACATCTCTGGACGTTTGTGGACATTTTCCCTGGAATCCTGACTGAGCTGGTCTGCAGCTTGGAGGGAAATGCCCTGGGTAGCCTTGGCCTGGCTGCAGATGCCCTCAGAAGTGTTTAACTGGGACATGTGCCATGCTGGAGACTCTGGAACATTCTGGTTTTGCCTCTGCCCCTAACTCAGCTCCATCTCCCTCTTTGCAGCTGAGTCTGGACAACTTCAAGCTTCAGCCTCCAGTGACCTTCCGCCTGGCAGCGGGCTCTGGCCCGGTACACCTCGCTGGCTGGCACAGGATTGGTAAGGACTCATTGGGGGAGAAAGTTTGGGAGGAGCGAGGGGCATCGAGGGGCTCCTTCCAGCGCAAACCCCAGCCAGGGAGCACCCAGGAGATGCACTTCGTGCTGCCCATGTGTGTGCTCAGTCCTTCCTTTGTGATGGCTCCCTAGGGGCTGTCTCTGTGTGGGGATTCCTTCCCTGCCGTACACCTTGCATGGGAAGAGGGGTCTGGGTGATGCACACTGTCCCCTCTTCCTATGGCTGGCTGTTGCCATTCCTCTCTGAGACCTCCCTCTAGGCTGGGATGCAGCTTATTGGCCACAAGCTGCTGTTAAAACTGTTCCAGCGCTCCCTGAGCTGCTCTGCCCTTGGGGTATCTTGGAGACCAGCTGCATTTGCCAAAGACATGCATTGGTAACAGTTACTTGTGTTGCAGTGCACAGGGAAGATGCTTCCTTTGAGGAGGACGATGATTTGTCTGAGGAGGAGGATGAGGAGCTTCCTCCTATCAAGCCAGCTAAGAAGTAGAGGAGGGAGCAGTAACTTATCTCCAGGCAAGGTGAGGGGTCGGGCAACCTCCGTGGAAGGGTCTGGGTGGCTGTCACGCTGGTGTGACAAGTGTGGGCGGAAGCTGCACTGCTGCAGGGCGCTGCTCGTCTCAGTCTGGCTCTTCCTCCAGGTACTCGCTGGGACTTCTCTCACCGGATGGCTTTTACCTCGGACACCTCTTGCCAGGACCTCAACGTTTGCTGCTTTCTTTTTTTTTTTTTTTTTTTTTTTTCTGTTGTAACTTTTTGGGAAGCAGGGTCTGCTCCCAGCACTGGGATGCCTCCTTTCCCACAGCCCTGGGAGGCTGATCCCAAAACTGGATGGATGCTGCTGGCATATCCCCCCTCCCCCATCCCTGTGCTGGGAGTTGGGGATGGAGGAGGTGATCCCTGCCCTGTACCTTCTTGCTGTTCTGGACCTCTACTCTGTGCAACCCCTCTCCACAGTTCTGAAACACCCGGTCCTGGCCCCTTCCCCAGCAGATGGATGTAAAGCCACTGGTGGGACAGGCAGTTTCACTGATTAAAATTATAGAATCATAGAATCATTAAGGCTGGAAAAGACCTCAAGGATCATCAAGTCCAACTCAACACCACCTAGCTCACTAAACCGTGTCCCTGAGCACAACATCTACACGTTTCTTGAACACCTCCAGGGATGGTGACTGGGCTGGGTTCTGGAAAGCAAGGTCATGCTTGACCAGCCTGATCTCCTTCTGTGACCAGGTGACCCGCCTAGTGGATGAGGGAAAGGCCGATTCTAGTGTTTGCTTTTCTTTACTCACAATTTGATGTTTTTTTATACACTTGGAAGTGCAAAACTGGGGCCCAGGCTGCGTCTTTAACTGCAGTTATGGTGGGGTGGGAACTCACAGTGTATTTGTGATTTGGGGGGAGGTTCTAGGTCAATCTGCTTTGTAAAGAACTGTTTTTACACTCTGAATAAAGGTCTCTCAGGTGTCACTGCTGGCTGGCAGGTTCCTCCCGTGTGCACTGCAGTGGGAGATGCTCCTCTGTGTCCAGTCCCTGATGCTTGCTTCCCTTGGCAATGCTGCAAAGGCCCTGGGAGGGGCCCAGGGACTCCTCTCTCTCTCCCGTGTGGGCTTTGCACATTTGTGCCCCATCAGCCAGCTCAGCACTGCATCCAGGCTACCGAGGGAAGGGGCAGAGCTGCAGGCAGCTGTATGGGGCAGGGACCCAGCTCCACATGTGCTCCCAAAGGTAACTCAGCTGTTAGCAACACCCCCAGGTCTGGGCCACATTGGCCCTGGAGCTGGGCACTGTCACAGCAAGGTCCTTGCTTGTGTCCTGCTCTCAGCCCAGCAGTGTCCTGTGGAGGGGTGAAACACCAGTGCCTGCAGGGTGTGGGGCAGGTTTGAGCTCTGGCCTTTGCTGGGGAGTTGTGTCCCCCTGTGTCTGGGTATTTAGAGAGGGTTTGATCATTTTTGCACTTCAGTCAGGTGGCACTTCTCACCCCTGGGGGCTGCTCCTCTCCTTAAATGTTTGTCTGACTGTTTCCCTGCATCTGATCTTGCATCACTGGCCCATGGGTTGATGCCTGTCCCAGGCCTCCTTGTTTGTGACACTACCTGTTGTCCCTGAGAAGCACCATGTACTGTTCTGTCCTGCTGACCCTGCTGGTGTCCCGGGACAGTGAGTTTCTCAGTTGCATGGACTCCAGTAGTAAATCCTCCAGGGCAGATCCTCAGCTCTGACTCCATCCTGGGTTGTTAGTGGGGCTGTTTCTCTCCTCTGGGGCCTGTGTAACCCCCATCTGCACCCCACACCCGCACTGTTTCCTTCTGGCTTCCAACAGCCCTTGACTGGATGGAGGGAGGCTCTGATGCAGCAAAGGGGGAAGGACGCCTTGAGCAACCTGGTCTAGTGGAAAGTGTCCTTGCCCACGGGGGGTTGGAACTAAATGATCTTTAAGGTCCTTTCCAAGCCAAACCCTTCTGTGATTCTATGACTGTTGTCACCCCAACCCCATGGCCTGGGGCTGTGTCCCTGGGGACCATGCCTGCCCAGGTGACACCAGGGGACAGACCAGAGCCGGCCCAGGAGGGGGTGATGTAGCTCCCGCCTGGT